AACAAATGAGATGACATGGCCTTTCACCCATGACCCTTCTAGAAAGGGTTAATAAGGACTTAACTCATGCCAAAATTTGTTGAATAGCCACAGGCAGTAGGCAATAGCCCAAGAAAGCAGGAACAGTGATATGGTGTAAGTAGTGGGAGATGAATGTATATGGAGTTGTCCACATGCCCAATCATAGAATCTCCTCCAATGGCGACGAAGACGAGAGCCAAGGGAGAAGGTAAGGTGACATTTGATGTGAGGAAATGTGAAAAAGATCATGCTGGGAAGGAAACAAAGAGGAATAGGCCAACTGGGTCAAAGATCAAACCCAATTGGTCAGAGTAACTGGGGAAAGATCATGGGAAGAGGAAGGTTGCCAAGGAATAAAAAGGCAGGAATGAGGACCTAGGAAGGAAGCCGTGTGAGCAATATAATAATGGAGGGCACGGACAGGACAGAGGAGTCTGTCTGGATCAGGATGAGGGTAGAAGGAGGATTGACCTTCGAGTTGCAGAGGTCTTAGGAAGGAAAGCACGATCCGGATAAGGTAGAAGGAATGGTACAAGGTCCCGGTAACATTGAGAGCGAAAATATCCGACCTACAATGCCCACAGGCCAAGACGAGGAAGAAATATGCCTTCAAGTTGAGGTTAAACAGGGAACATACAGACAGAGCTTTGAACAGAGATAAAGTGAGGCATGAAGGACCACATTAATATTCCAGTCTGGGAGAAATGGATGCCTTGGTGGCCAACAGAACAAATCAATATGAAAAGGACAGGGGAAGCAAAGAAGCACAAAACTCTAAAACAGAGGAGACCAAAGAACCCCTCTCAAAGAGAAACTTAGAGATACAGGCAACCATTGGATGAGAAGCCCAGAAACTCTGAGTCAATGAAGCAGCCAAAGATGGGTGAAGGAACAGGCTAAATGTGAAGCTACTCTGCGAGAGAAACCAGAACTCCTCACCAAAGACCTGACAATGGACAGATGGTACGGGATGGAGTGCTGGTGACTGGGGTTGATGGAGCAGGTCAGGATGGAAAGGAAGAGGAAGGGACCACCTTCAGTTGGAACAACCGAAGGAACCAAGGTTTAGTGGGCCAGTAAGGAACAATCAAAGGATTATGCACAGAGTGGCATGGATGAGGGAGACAACCTGATGAAATAAACAGATGGGAGGGTAAACATAAAGGAACAGATAAGTCCAATCCTGGCTGAAGGCATCAACAGCCAAGGCTCGAGAATGGGGAACCAGGAGACAAAACCTAGGTAATTTGTGATTGAGGGTGGTGGCAAAGGCATCGATATGGGGCATACCAAGATGCAGACAGAGCCACAAAAAATGGAAGGATGCAGTGACCACTCTGTGGGATAAACGCAATCTGGTCGATAAGGACAATTGGTTACGAGATTGAAAGCACCCAGTACATGACACACCATCAAACGAATGCAATGGGTATAGGCCCAATAAAGAATATCCAGGGATCTGGACTTGGTGCAACCACAGTAGAATTGTCAAAATGGATCATAACCAGCCAGCAGCTGGCAAGAGACAGAAAATGATCCAAAGCCTGAAGAACAGCCAGGAGTTCAAGAACATTGATGTGAAGAGAACTCTACTCCACAAACCAATGACCCAAAACCTCCTGATGATCCACACAGACACCCCAGCCCTGAAGGGATGTATCCACAAACAAATGTATATCTGGCCTTGGAGGAGGAAGCGGGACCCCCGTCAACCACCAATGGAGATCGTCAACAAGAGATGAGTGAAGGGACA